TAGCCAGTCCCTAGAGCTGCCTTGTTACTTGCAGCTGTTCCTCTTGGAGATCACATGTATTTCTGATATGGCCTGAATGAGTTTTTGTTTACTGTAACCAAAAGAGCCTGTCTCCTCCTAGGTTCCTCAAGGACGAGGATCAAGCATCCTTGTACTCCCCACTTTCATTATCAGTGTCTTGCCTGTAGTAGTTACTCAACAAATGTTTGTTGAGATAAAAATAAAGAGTATCCAAAGTTGGGGCACTATATTATATTTAAGAGCAGTCAACCTAAACTTTGGGGGTTAGGGAATACTTTAGCAAAAATCTCCAAATGATTTTTACTGATTGTATTTTAATTTTACCTGAGCATATTCTTCCACAATTCTTACTTCTTCTGCCACAATTTCTTCATCCTGTTTAACAAGCATCTGAACTTTCTCAACTACTTGTGATTCTTTCTGTAATTTTTCCATTAGGATTTCTGTTTCCTAATGAACCAAACAATTCTTAGAATTAATTTTAAGAGAGCATAAATTCAAATAGCTCATTTCCTTATTATAAAATTTATTAAAATCAGCCTGAAATATATTTACTGAATAGACTAATTATGATGATAGCCATAAATACCAAGTAACACAATTCATGTGAAGAGTGATGATGAGTAATAATTTTTAGAATACTTGAGAGATTGCAAGTTACCACAGCACATTTCAGATGCATTTAATGAATTAACTAGGAGACCTTTCTGTATGAGTTTCTACAATTATATACCTATTATCATATTTAATTATTAAAATGTAATAATGTCACTATTTTGCTGTTACTGTTTTCCAATTGAGGCTATAAGAGGTTAAGTAATTTCTTCAAGGTTACATAGCTACCCAGTAACAAAGCTGGCAAAGCTGTAATTCTAATCCATTTTATCAGCTATCAGAGCCTTTGCTTTCAAACGCTGTTCTATCTTAAACTATAAAACTTTATAAGAGATTTCAAACTAAGTCTACCTTTGTTTTTTGTTCTATCTGAGGACCAAGAATCAAGAGCTCCTCTTGCATATCTGTAACTAGTGCGGTTGCTTCCAGAATCTTCGACAAACCCGTATGAAAACGATTCCTGAAGAAAGAAGAAGTATCAAGAAGATATAAGATATAACAAAATATTAGCAAATATAATTCAGAAATACATAAAAATAATTATATTCCATGGCCAAATGGGCTTTATTCCAGGAATACAAAGCTGGTTCAGTATTTGAAAATCAATCAGTATAATCCACTATACTAATAGGCTAAGGAAGAACAATCACATGCATATCAATTGATGCAGAAAAAGCATTTGACAAAATTCATGATAAACCATTACAAAACTAGGATTACAGGGGGACTTCCCCAAGTCGATAAAGAACATCTATACAAAACCTACAGCTAATACCATACTTAATAGTTTGAAAGACTGAATACTTTCTCCATAAGATTAGAAATAAGACAAAAAAGTCCACTCTCAGCATTCTTATTCAGCATAGTGCTGGAAGTCCTAGCCAGTGCAATAAGGCAAGTAAAGAAAATAAAAGGCAAACAGATTGGAAAGGAAGAAATAAAACTGTCCCTATTTGCAGATGACATGATAGCTTACATAGAAAATTCTAAGGAATCTTAAAAAAAACCTCCTATAAGTAATAAGTGAGTCAGCATAAAAGATCAACATACAAAAATCTATTGTATTTCTAAACACAAGCAATGAATGTATGTCCACTAAAATTAAAAATACAACACCATCTGTAGTTACTCAATAAAGAGAAATACCTAGGTACAAACCTAACAAAATGTGTATAGTAGTTACATGCTGAAAGCTGACGAGAGAAATCAAAGATCTAAATAAATGATGAGACATACTGTGATCATGGATTGGAAGACTCAACATAGTAAAGATGCCAAATCTCCCCAAATTCAAATAGAAGTTTAATGCAATTCCAATCAAAATCCCAGTAATAATTTTTTTGTATATATGGGCAAGTTTATTCTAAAATTTATATGAAAAGGCAAATGAAGTAGGATAGTGTCATGGATTGAATTGTGTCCCCCCAAAATATCTGTCAACTTGGCTGGGTCATGATTTGCAGTACTGTATAATTGTGTCATCTGATGCAATTTCTTTATGTGTTGTAAACTCTATCATTATGATGAGGTTATATGTGATCTCCTTATGTGTTGTAAATTCTATCAC